AAACTGCTCCTGAAGAGTGCTAACACTGGAGTTTTCAATTATATGAACCAACAAATCCTCTCATTGATTCAGTCAGGTTAGGTTGAAAGCACCCAAACTAGTACTATGAGATTTTACATAAAACATGGGCTTTAGATCACACATTTTTTTTTTTTAATTTTTAAATTTTTAAATTTTTTTTTGAGTTGGAGTCTTACTCTGTCGCCCAGACTGGAGTGCAGTGGCTGCTCCTGGCCACCACAGCCTCGACCTGCTGGGCTCCAGCGATCCTTCCGCCTCAGCCTTCCAAGTAACTGGAACTACAGGCACGTACTACCATGCCCGGCTAATTTTTTGACTTATTGTAGAGATGAGGTCTCGCCAAGTTGCCCAGGTAGGTCTCGAACCCGCGGGCTCAGGCAATCCACTCACCTCAGCCTCCCAAAGGCGCAGGGATCACACATATTTTTTAAAAATTATTTTAATTTTAGGGCTGTGGGGTGTATGTGAGAATAAGAAAATTGGCTGCAGATGGGGTTTGAGCTTCTGGCAAGTCCCCTCTTCCCAGGTATTGAACACGGTATCAAATAGGTAGTTGTGTTCCCTGTATCCCCCTCCTTCTCTTCCCCTACTAGTAGTGTCCAGCATCAATTGCTCCCAACTTTGTGCTTGCTTGCTCAATGTTTAGGGCCTGCATATGATGAGAACATATAGTTTTAAACAACTAAAACATCTAGTCAAAGATCTAGCTCATTATGTATGGTCAAGGAACATGGCTGAATAAGTAGATCTCTTTAAAAAGGGGAGAAAGAAAAATATTTCTGTAATATGGCTTTCAATACTACAGCAACAAATTTAATATGACACTAAATGCATATAAAATACCATATGACTATAACTTATTTATCTATATATTTCTATCACCCACAGAAATTGTTCCAAAACAACTCAACTCATCACATATTTATTCTTGAGTAGCAAGAGAGTAAGTCACAATGAAACTCCCTATAATGCATTCACTGGGAACTATGTTGATAGTGTTTACTATTACACTCCAGAATTTAAAATAGTACTGTATACATAATGAGTGCTGAAATTTTTGTTTAATGGATGTTGAATAAACTATATTATAAGTATCACACCATAGATTTAAAAAGACATGGATATGTTAAATAATTTGGTATGAAGAGGGGGTGCCTTTAATTATCCAAGTATCTGATGTCAAGTTAAAACGTCCTGGTGATTTTCCAAATGTACATATTATATGTTTAATAGGCATCATTCATGTAATGGAATAAAGACCAGATGAGGTCTGCTCTAAGCAAAAATCTCAATGCATTAAACAGGTAGTTAGTTTGAATATTCCGCACAAAAAAAATATTCTTAGGAGAGGCTCTAATCCTTCCCTTTCACAGATATTTACTGAATAACTGTAATACAAAGATGAGAGACATGTTTCTACACAATAAGATTTTCCCCAAAAATCTTAAATGATCCAATGTACCAATTGTGTTTATCTATCCATTGGTAGGAATAGATATATTGATTAAGATGAAACTTTCTAAAATTTATTAAAATAGTGTAATCACACCAAAGAGCAAGATTAAATATTAAATGTGGAACATTAATAAATAGTTGTATTGTTTTAGTTTATTTTCTATTAAAAATCCTCTCCAAGTCCTCTGAATATTTACACTCTACCATTCAATTTTTAATTTGCCAATCTGCCACTTCCTTATAGACTAACATGTATAATCCCTTGATGAGAGTTTGATTCCTTTGGATTCTTTAGTGTTCTGGACTGCTCATTTATCTTGTTAAAAAACAGTGAGACTTTAGTCTAAAACAATGTACCTTTGTTAATAAGGGAGACAGTATGGCCTACTCATTAAAGCTTTAGACAAGGACCCCTGGGAATTATCATTTTTTTTGTTCCAATGACCATTAATTCCAAGAAAATGGCCTAAATTCTGTGTTTGTATTTGTTTCTTTCTGTGAGATAAAGTATATTATCATCCACAGGGGCACTGTCTAGTTGAACTGATATACTGGAGAATTAAAAAATAAATGTATTCATTTTCACATAATTCTGCAACCTATAAAATATAAGAAAAATTTAGATTATCAACAAGCATAGCATTGTCCTGTGAAAACCTGAGTCAGATTGATTCTTTCACTCTCAAGAGAACGTTTAATATGATGAGCTCTTAAATATCAAAACAAAATGCATAAATGACAAAACCCAGGAGAAAAGGAAGTAAATAGAACTTTCTAGTCTTTTCCCAGGAGAGCCTGCTGACTCTACCACTGCTATTGACTATGACAAACACAAACGTTGGAATCAATAGGGAGATAAGCTAAATACAACACTTACCTATGAAGAGACAGAGAAAACTGCAGTTTATGTGTAGTATAAAACAATAGAAGCTGTTATTAAAATCTAAAAGCATGCCTAAAATTAGTAAGGGAAAAATCTTTGTAAATGTATTGTAGGGAAAAAATACTTAAACTAAGAATGAGAATATGCTCCCTGATGTCTTTCTCATAATTGCAAAAATGTACTTGTCAAGTACATTCATTTTCTAATAATTTGTGCTTCGGATTACATGGAACATTACTTAAGGCACATATTTTTAAAGAGAAAAAGTACGGTAACATCCCTTACACTTATATGATTTATGAATAAGGAATTAGTAATATAAAATGACTATATACTACATATACAGATATATTTATAAATTATTTTATAGAACTATTAATAGAAGTCAAATTTACAGAGACTTTTTATTAGCACATAGATGATATACTAAATTAGTTTTGCTTTCTCATGCTTCTAATTTAGTGCAAATCATAAACTGCATATATAAACTTAGGCAATAACCTAGTAACTGGCAGACATTGTAGATCTGAAATAACTAAAAACCATACAGCATTTAAGCTTAATTTTTATGCAGTTGCAATCTATTATAAATTATAATTTATTCCCAAAATTTGGTAAATTATATTATTTATCTCAATTATATAAATAATAAAAATACGAGTATGCTAGGAGAACTTAACTGAATATTCTTACCAGAAAAATATAAAGATTTGCCACAATGCCAGCTAAGTTAGTTTTGCATTCACTGATAAACCAGGTTGCCATAGCAAGCCCATAGTCACTGAGTTTCTAAGCAACCTGAGACTCCACAGGCTGCAGATACTTAGGAATGCACTGATCTTTCATCACCCTTAAGGAAGAAATATGAAAAGTTGTGGTACCTAACTTGATGGAGGATTCCTTTATTATTGAGTCTAGTAGTGACCTCTATAAAATGCCCCCGTATTAACAGTCATTTAATTTATTAAGTAATAATATGTGTATAGGGTAATTATTGGATTATTCACAGTGCTAAGTGGATGAAATTAGGTGCAGAAAATGGTCAGTACCTGGAATGTATTGTGCTGCCAAATATATGTAGAGTGAATAAAGATGCAATACATAATTTCTAGAGACAAAGTCATTTCCATAAAGTGAGCATTCATAAATTCCTTGCCTTTTAATATAAAATATATGTTTAATAGCATTACTATGTAGTGTGTCACTTCATCTTTTTTGTTTCTAATTATTGCATCATAGGTAACGTAGGTAAATAAATCAGAAACTCCTTGAGATCTTATGTTGAAATATTTAATCGTAGCTTGTCTAGAATATTTTAATAACATATTAGCCACTCAAATGACAAAGATAATTGCATAGACATGCATGCAGTGCAAGCATTTATAATTTTTTGGATGTGCATGTATTAGCATTTTCTGTCCCTGTCTATAAATACCTTCTTCAAGTCCCCTGTCTTCATTCAGTGCCCACTGAGGCAAACCATTGCCTCCTGCATTCTCTTTTAACTCCTTAGACTCTGTTTCCAGCTGTTTTAGATAATTACAATAAATAAAGATAAGGTATACAAATAGTATGTTCCTACAGAACATTGTATCTCAATGCAAATCCAATGAAATGTCATTAATAGAAATAATCATTTATGACCTGTAAAACAATTGTGCCTATAATCTGTAAAATTTTACCTAGTTCCAGTACCTGCTTTTCTATACTTCCCATTATTATTCTATGTAACTAATTTTTACCATGAAAAACATCTTGGGAATAGTTTGCACATTGAAGACTGGCTTTAATGGTTAATTTTTTTTAACAGTACTTTATACATCCTATTAACTATTTCATCAAAGATTTAGTAGCCCAAGTCAATAGACTATAATACAATACAATGACTGAATTCTCTAATCTGAGAGCAAAATAAAGTTGCAAAATCACCTCTCTCCAACAAGTTACAATAGTCACCTATTGACTAGAGCCACACCAGGGTTGCCAGTGGTAGAGACTGCTGTGACCTCTACTTGTTACTGCTGACCAGCAGAGGTAGGGGAGGATAGATTCTTCTTTCTCTAAAGATTGAGAAGACAACTACTCTGTCCTATAATATTAATATAGGAGATTCTACATTTTTCATAATGATATTCATTATAATGCATCTTTGGGTAAAAAGTGACCATCTAGGATTTAATAATCTTCCAGGGAAATATATATTCTTAAGAGTAAAAGATAACTGTACATGAATTTACCCTTATAGAATGTTGCTCTATTAAGATATTCCTCCATCTTTGTATACATATAAAATATGTCTATTGAAGGGTTTTGATAATTTCAAATATGTTTTAATGTCCTCCTATCACCTATTAATGTAATCATTAATTACAATGCATAGAAAAATTACAACACTTGACCCACTCCTTAGATTGTCTTTTAGAAGCAACTTCTTATCTAAAAGTTTGAAACAGTCTGCCTGAATGCCTATGATACCCCATATGTTCTACCTCCTGAGGGGCGAGAAATGCAAGTGTACTTAAACTGGACACGAAAAAAGCAAAATTCAGACCGAAGTAGATTTTAAGTATTGCGAGCACGAGTGTGAAATCATACATCTGTAGGCTAGATAACTTTACAGTGATTACACAGGAGTAATTACCAGTTAGAAGTCCGACGAAAGATTGCGAGGCCACAAATGCTAACTCAATTTCAAAACGCTGGTTGGAAGATCACGGAATTAACACCGATGACTCTGGTTGTGTTTGTCCCAAGTGCTGGGTCAGATCACTGCAGTACATCAATCAGCCCCACCTCCTAGTATCCAAGAATGACTTTGGAATTTTGATTGGCACTCGAGTGAGGCAGGGGGATTTCTAAACCAAAGTAAATCCTGCAGTGAGAGTTTGTTAACCTCTCTTGCTTAAAAATGAGCTGCTCTTCACTCTGGCTCTTTCCTTTTAAAAAAAGAAACAATTACTCTGTGACGTTTAAAAGAACACAGAAGCAGTTCCCTCTCCAGGGATATCCCTACTTACTTTCTCATAGCAATTCCCCTGATGTTCTTCATCCTGTGTCTTTGTTATAGGACTTTACCATCCTCCTAGGAACCACATAACAACATGTACACGGTCTTGGGAAAAGAAACAAAGTACTCATGAATATTCTGGTTTGTGGAAAGCTGGAGATGAGGGCAACACAGTGTAGGGCCCTACAAAACTAATTCAGGCTTATAATAGTTTTCTTTGCAATATGAGAGAACTAAGCAATATTTGGTGTGTATATTATAATATATGCAACACATAACAATCATATAAATTAAAACAAATAAAGACACTGTGAAAAATACGGTCATGACAGTAAATGGGGGGGAACCTCCGCAAAAAAAAATGGAATTATTTTTTGGAGGGCAGGCCTCTTGTAGTACAGGCTTCCCCCACTGAGTGGGTGTTCTGGGAACCCACTGGCATCGGTGATCCAGCTAGAGTTGTTGTGAGAGGTTGCGTTCAGCTTCAGGGTTTATTATTATTATTTTTTTAGATTTTTTCAATGAACTTGCTCATTTCATGATGGGTGATTTACAAACACAACTGCTTATACCTCACTGCGAGTCTAGCAACTTTTGACCAAAAAAGAAATACACCCCGTGCCCAACCCTCCGTTTTCACCCTCTCTTGCCCCAAATGACCTTTTGTGTTTCCCCAGATAAAAAGAAGTCCTCAAAGGGAAACATTTTTCTGATGTGGAAAAGGTGAAACAAAAATGGCAGAAGCACCAAAAGCCATCAAAATTGATGGGTTAAAAAAGTTTTCAGCAGTGGAAAAAGCATTTTGATAGGCATATTGCATCAAATGGAGAGTACTTTGTAGGAGACTGAAGTATAAACATGTAAGAATAAGTTCACACTTTTTCATAAATAAATTCTGTTTTGGGGGGTCCCCATCATATGCTAAATGAGACAAAAATATGACTTTTTCCCAGATCTCTTAAGTTTATAATTCTCTGGGAATTAATGCTGATGACATACATTCTCATATAGTCATATGCTAAATGAATATTTATCATGTGGCCACTATGTGCTCAGAACTCTGCCACAAAGAGGGAGCAAACATCCCTACTGTGAGGTTTGCTATAATATACTTTAAATACTTAGATATAAATTATAGTGTGTATATGAACGTGCGGCACTTTTAATGTTCATAAAGTATGCAGTTACCCTTGTTGAAAACATTCACTCTAGAGCTGGTTACCTAGCATTTAATAGAAGTCCACAACTGAGTTATATTTATCTCCTTAGAATAAGAAGTTGGCATAATATATATTATAAAGGAGATTTTTACTAAAGAAATGAATGAGAACTAAGATTTATGAATTGGCTAGAATTATTACTGGCTAACTCCTTACTCTTACATAACAGAGTTTAAAAAATCTACTAAGGAGAGTTGTCTAAAGCTTAGTTCAGAAATGGCCTGTTTAGCTGTTGATTTTAGAGTAATTTTGATTGCCAATGACTGGATGATTAGCTAAATTCTGAGGTTAGCATATTATGTGTAGCCTCAGAAGAACTATTATTTACTGAAGTTACCAATATTTGCCAAAATGACCTGATAATAGTGACTGTTCCAATTGACCTAGGTCATTTAGCAACACAATTTCAAGCTTACATTCTAGAAATGCAGCTTATGCACAGAAGACAATTCCACATGCAGATCTATGGGTAAAAGATCACAAAGTCTCTTGGATTAAGAGGAAATCCACATTTGCCTAGATATAAATAGCTGTGAGTCATAGTTCAAAGAACTTTCACCTACTTCTATGTATAAAGCATTTTTTCTCTTTGCCTAATGAGCTTCATATTGCAGAAGTTAAGAAAATCTTAGGAATTATTTGTTTGATCATTTAACAGATGAAGATTCAGAGATCCAGGGAGTTAGAAATATTTGTTCTAAATCATCCTAATATTTATCAAGCCCCTACCCACAAAATGACCTTAAAGAGTATATTACTTTTAGTTTCTCAATTTTCTATTTTCTCCACTTGTTACCTTTCACATCTCTTCCCTCAAGTTTTGCCCTAATATTTAATAAAGTATTACTTTAATATTTTTGGATATATCATTATTCTTCTTTGTTCTCCTTCAGCAATGCTAGTCAACTTAATATTAGGCTCCTGGTAACTAGAACAATTTATACCTCTTTTTTCTTAATTTTCATACACTGTTACTCATATAAAACTAATTTTTAAAATCTATTCTGATTGTAGTGTTCTTTGGATTTGTAAAGTATTATTTTAATTAACTTTTAAATCATTTAAATTATTAGATATAATAAATTGTGTCAGGTTTAATTAATATAATCTATTTTTTCCTTCTCATGCAGGACAACTTGAAAAATTCTATCAAAGGATAAAGAAGGGGATAAATATTTGTTCACATATTATTATGGGTCAAGTGTCATGTCAAAGGTTTCCATGTGTTATTATTTGTCTCAAATCCTCCAAATTAAATATTGTTAGCCACATTTTTTAACAGACGAGATAACTAACACAGGAGAAAGTGAAGAAAATTAGATAAATGCAAACATGTCCAGAATTATAGGCATCCTTTGGAAATATTGTGAATTTGGTTCCAGATCACTGTAATAAAGTGAGTATTGCAATAAGGTAAACCATAGGAATTATTTTGTTTCCCAGCAGATATAAAAGTCATGCTTATACTATTCTGTATTCTATTAGGGGTGCAATAACTTTATGTCTAAAAAAGTACATATCTTAATTTTAAAATGCTTTATTGCTCAAATATGTTAATGATCATTTGAGCTTTCAGCAAGTCATAATCATTTTGCTGGTTTCCATCTTGCCTCGATGCTGACGGCTGCTGACTACTCAGGATGGCAGTTGCTGAAGGTCAGGGTGGTTTTAGCAGTTTCTTAAAATGAGACAACAATGAAATTTGCCTTATGACATGACTCTTCCTTTCACAAACAATTTCTCTGTAGCCTGCAATACAGTTTGATAGCATTTTACCCACAGTAGAACTTCTGAAACTGGAGACAATCCTATCAAATACTGCTGTTGCTTTATCAACAAAGTTTATGTAATATTCTAAATCCTTTGTTGTTTGTGTCAACATTGTCCACAGCTTCTTCAGAGAAGTAGATTTCATCTCATGAGCAGTAGAGTTCCTCTAAAAAAAACAAATCACTTTATTTGCATATTCTTAAGAAGTCAGTATTTGCTGCTTCACTTAGAACTTTTATGTTGTGAAGACAGCTTTTTTCCTTCAACCTCATGAATCAACTCTTGTTAGCTTCAGACTTTTCTTCTGCAGCTTCCTTGCCTCTCTCAGCCATCACAGGAATGGAGAGAAGTAGAGCCTTGCTCTGGATTAGGCACTGACCTGTGGAAATATAGTAGCTGGTTTGATCTATATTGTTCACTCAAACTTTCTCCATATCAGCCATAAGGCCATTTAGTGTCTTATCATTTGTGTGTTCACCAGAGAAGCGTTTTTAATTCCCTTCAAGAACATTTTTTTTTCATTCACAATCTGGATAACTGGTACAAGGGGCCTAGCTTTCACCCTTCTTGGCTTTTAACATGCCTTCCAAGTATAATAATAACAATAAAATTTTGAAATACTGTAAAAATTACTAAAATTGTGACACAGAGACATGAAGTTCAACACATACTGTTTAAAAAAATGGTGTCAATAAAATTGATTGAGGCAGGGTTTCCACAGACCTTCAAATCTGTAAAATTAAAAAAAAATACACCATCTACAAAGTGCAATAAAGTTCAGCACAATAAAATGAGGTATTCCTGTACTACAAAGTAAGTGACCTTGAGTTTATGCATCTAGTTGGTCAGTAATAAGAAAGATTAATAGAAAAACATAAGGATATGGCATAGTTTAGATAATTGTCCCCTCCAAAGCTCATCTTGAAATTTGATCTCCTGTGTTGGAGGTGGGGTCTGATGGGAGGTTTTGGGTCATGGGAGTGAATACCTCATAAATGATGTGGTGACGTCCTTACGTAAGAAATGGGTTTTCTGTTAGTTCCCTCTAAGTCTGATTGTTAAAAATAGCCTGGCATCTTCCTCATCAATTTCTCTTCTTATTATATTTCTTCTTATCATGTAATGCCTGCTTCATTTTCCCTTTCTACCGTGAGTGGAGTCTTCCTGAAGCGCTAACCAGAAGCAGTTGTTAGTGCCATACTTCTTATACATTCTGCAGAACTGTGAGCCAAAGAAACTAAAAATTCTGCTTCAGAGCACAAAAATTGTTACTTAATGCTAACAAGAACATACTTGATGCATCTTATAAGCATCTTTGTTATTTGATAACTTTAGAACTAAAGAATGTGGTTGAAGTACAGATGAGAGTTTTGTGTGTTGATTGACTTTTTAAATTATCACATCACTATTTTTATTCCTTGTAATATCACTTTATATTTAATTTAGAAATAATAATATTCTTTTCAGAAGCGCATTCATTGAAAAACTCAAGTTGTATTCTGTCACACTAGTGGCTAATGCTGAGAGTGCTGACTGCAGAGCAGACAGTGCTTACTGCAATCCTAACACTATTCCAAATATGTTTCAGGACCATTTGAATTAATCTTCACAACAACCCACTGGGTTAAGCACTACTATTCCCCCAATATTGCAAGTGGTAAAAGTAATGCTCTGAGAGACTGGAGAATTTGCTCAAGGTCGACCCGTGCTGTACTAGGAATTAAAAACGGGTTCCTAACTTCGGACCCT